AATATAATTAGAATAGGACACAAGGGAAAACTTGGGAGACCATGGGAACAATTTGGGTAACCAAACAAAGGTGCCTAGTGGCACTGTAGACAGCGTAGGGTTTCCCACCTGAATCACGGATGCTGCTCCAGCAGGCAGTCTCTAGTTTCCACACAGGAACTACCAGCCCGATGAATGTACTTTTCAGACCCCAGATGGCTAAAATGGCACTAGACATCTATTGGTAGGCATTCCATCATCCCCTGTATGCCCCTTCCTCGCATACTGCAAAGGTCACAGTTCAGAAACTAACAGAAGCTACTTAAGGCTTAGAACAATTGCTTTCTTTTTCTCACAAGTCACAAGCTTTTTTGTATAATATTAGACAAATTACGCAAGTTCATGAGAAGGATTGCATACTACTTTGTATGTCAGAAATGTTGCTAACTATACCTAAGGTAAAGAAAGCGAATACTGAACTAATGAGGCATTCTTGTTCCCTTCATTAAAGTTCTAAATAACTGAAAAAAATATTTACCTTCTTTCTTCTCCTCTCTCCTTTTGTTTCTTTGTTTCTTTGGTTTTGTGAAGAAGACCGAAAGATCTGGGAAGATTTTTACTGTGAAAACTAATGCCCCTGACTATTTGGAATTTCTTATCTAAAATAGCAGTTGGTCTGGGGTGGTGGTGGGAGGCTTGATTTGTGCAGGGAATTCAGTATTTTCTAAGTGGATATATGTAACTAATACTAAGTAGTACTTAACAGTAGGCACTCGTGGGAAGGATATTTTTTACAAAACTAATTTGAACCTTCTTACGAGAGCTTTTTTCTTAAAAAGAAACTACATACAGTGCTTACCCTAAGAACTGAATTTCATTTTTCTGCAGAACACCTGCATATAAGAAATAGGGGAAAACAACTGCCTTCTAATTTCAAAAGATAAGCTCCTAAAACTATTGTCACTGATTACAGACATTGCATATACTAAATTACTTTTTTAATTAGGAAGGTAACATTTTATATTTTAATAGATTCACTTATGCCTAAAAATGTCCTTCCTTCCTTCCATCTCATCAAATAATACAAATCAGTCTTCGCTTTCATAAGACAGAGTGTTCAACCAGGAGCTACAATCACCTGAAATCAACAGCCAAAGATACTCACAGAAATGAAAATAACACACTAAACATTTTAACAACTGGAATTCAATTATACTAAAGAAAAATTACCAAATATCCAGTCAAAAAAACCAAAATGCATAAATTCCAACATGAACAAAAGCCTGAAGTTCAGAGATCCACAGCTATTTTGGAAGTGCAGATGTGCTGCATAGAACTAATCATCAAACAGAAAGAAGGCGAAATTTGTACTCCTTAACTAACTGCATTCTTTCATTACTCAAGCGAAATGAAATACAATTGCTCCTTGACCGGCAGCTTGTTCATGTATTAATGCATCAGCATTTCGGGAAAGCTGCTGTGGCTGTGAGGTTCTCATGTCCTGTGATGCACTGTCTGGGCTGCACTCAAAAAAAGAGGCCAGTCACAGAATTATAGAAGGACCAACAACCAAAATTACCCTTCCTTCAACAAATTCACAAAGGCACAGAGAAGAAATAAGGAGATCTTTTAGATTATCACCTTCTTATCCAATGACCAGCACAGAACACCCCTCAGCATTCAACCACAACACAAAAAGCAGCAGCAGAAGCACCTCCCCCCTCTTCCTGATCTTGTAACTAACACTTCTCCCTCTACAGTCTCAAAAAATGACCCAATTTCAGAGTCCTTTAAAAACAATGCATTCCAATCCTCCACTGAGACTGGACAAGAGTCTATTAATAGCAGAGTAAGAGCGCATGCTAAGATACTTTCCCATCAGAAACTAACAGCTGCACAGGAGAGCAAGTATGTCTCAAACTCCAGCAGTTTCCTGTATCCAAGCTTCTCCTGCTTAAAACCCACACGCCCAGGAGAGCATGCACCATGTCAATCAGAGTTCAAAACTAAACGCAAACCTCAGGTCTCAGCTAATGTAACTAACCAATGCACAAAGCTGCTTTGCCATTTTCCGGATAACCTCATGAGCTCTCCCTGGACTGGTGATATCAAGCAAACCTCATAGGAAGAGAAAGCAGTCATCTTCCAGAGGATCATTAAAAGAGCCAGTATAATACTGATCTGATCAAGAATGTTCAGTTCTACTCCTTCATTAACTGAACTCTGTCTGCCACTGCACAGAATAAGTTTCTAGCTAAAGCACCAAAAAGACAGTGAAGTAGAACTGGGAACATGAAGTTAAGAATTCACAGCTTTAAACTGCCTCATATTTAAGACACCTAACCAGCACATTAATTCCTCTAGTCAGCAGCTCTGAGGGCTTAGTATCAATTCAACTTGCACTTTCATTACAATTAACATATCTTATATATTTCTAAGCCACTGTCTACTATCTCTCCATGTATTTTAAGATCCAGAAGAAATATGTAAACAATTTGAAAGACGTGGCATACAATTTTCAGTACTCTGCATAACTCAACACATATTTATTAAGAAGGAAGATGAGAGAGAAATGCATCAACCTGCTGACAAAAAGATGTAGCACCAAGCAATTATGCCAGTTAGGATCATTTATTGACACAATAGTCAGTCCCGACTGACTAATGGCTACTTTAACAATCCTCTAGAAGATGACATGATGACATTAATATGATCCTATGATGTGGCTGTGCGTTCTTATGACTTTCATATGTTGCTATGAGCCATCTGTGGCTTACAGCACTGTATCTTCATCAAAAACTAGCCTTTTTTGTTTCAACATATTGGTTTATACGCCCTTGGCTCTGGAAAGAATATTCATTCTTGAGCCTTGAGACACACAAACCAGAGCCGAGCTGGCTTCAAATTAGCATTTTCCACCTCATGAATGGGTACTTGGGTAGTGAAGAACTAAGGATGGTTGGTCTCGTTGCATGCCCTTTCAAAATACAGTTAAACAACACCCCGCTTACTCCCTGGTTTTCAAAGATTTGGGTACATGACAACCAGCTACAGTCTGCCTCCATCTGACAACCAACTCTGCCTTCTTTCGAACCTGCAATTTCCCCACCTATGTTGCAGTTGCACTTACTGTATTAGTGTTGATTAGCTTGCTGAGATCTATAGCTACAATACGTTGGACCTTGTGCCTACTGTGTGATCAAGAGAAAGTACATTATATAAACACAAATGTTCCCTTAGCAAAGGGGAAGTATTACGCTGGGGACTACAGCTGTCCTGCACTATGTCAAAAAAAAACAAAAACCCAAACCAAACCACAACAAAAAACCCCCACAATTGCATACTGTGCACAAAAGAAAGACATCACCAGAAATGAGAGTTAGGGTTGCATTTATAATCTGTAAAGCCTCACAATTTCCTTGCATAGCAGGGGTTAATATCACTGCTGTCAAGATTTTGGAAGGCCACAACATGCAACCAGACAGACCTTGAAGTCAATAGGTCTATTTCTCAGATGCTGTTTTTTGTAGCAGTCGGTTATCACATAGATTTACAGGTTAAACATTAGTGTGCCTAGATAGAAACAGCTCCACTTAACCCTCCAGGGCTATCAGCATCAGGCCTCTCATGAGTACTTAAAAAAATAAAAGCTGCAAACATCCCTATCCACATTTCACAACAGAAGAACTCAGAAGCACAAAGCATCAAGAAAACCCAGCACGCACAACTGACAACAGACTCCAGGAACCACAAGTTCCTGTCTTTGATATCTTCAAGTACTGTTCTATTCTGCTGGATGTATTACTGGGAAAATAACGGTCAGGGTCTGAAGTTCTTGAATTTGCAGCTCTTAATGGTACAAAGGCAGAACATTTAAAATCCTACCAAGGCTTTGGACACGTACAGCTTTGTAGTATTATTTAAATTATTGTGATTCGGTAAACGCAGCAGTTGAAATATGACAAGTTTCTACTATGTTCCAGCTCCCTTTCCCTTTCTAGTCTCATTAAACCATTAACAAGTAAAAAGCTGCTCTCTGGTGCCTTCTGTTGCCATACACACTCAAAGAGAACTGCTCACCAGAAGGCTAAACGTTTACTTGATTAGGTAGCTCAGAGCATACACCTGACACACTGCCACACCTGCCCATGCTCGTAGTCACGATTCCTTACGCGTGTCCACCATCACCACATCTCAGTACATGCTCCCGCACATTCTACCCCACACTGAGATGAGCTACACTTGTACTTTCTGATTTACAAATGCTCAAGTGTGCTTTATCTGTCCACCTACTTTCCCCAGGTCATAAGGAACAATGAAAGTAGCCTCAGACTTCTACATGACAGAAAGGCCCTCCCTAGACCCAGAAAGACACAGGGACAGGAAACAGTCCCCTGGGGTATCAGGATGCACAGCAGAAGAGACATGCAGCAGGTTATTTCCAAACATTAAGCCACTCATTAGCCACTCATGCCCTTGCTGGTATTTCACTCTACAGCAGCCAATCTGTAGATTATTCATCTCTTCAGTTTCTTGCACTTTCATCTCTTACAAAAGTTTTGCTTAGTATGTAATGCAATAAATCCAGTTACAGTTACCAAAACTTAAAAAAACCACACTTGTAAAATAAACCAAAAACCACAATTCCCAGAGATCAAGCCACATATCAATAGAATTTCAAGTTTATGTTGGCAGTGACATCTTTTAGCATATCAGTGATGGCTGTTGTAAAACTAAAAAACGTTCTGCACAGGCAACTATGAAAAAATTCAGCATGCAAAACCTCTGACAAAACTGTCTGCAGAACACTTCCGACTGACCCAAAGTAGAGATTTCCAACACAGCTTGCTGCTGTAGTTTTACAAATGCATGGTCAGGTGACAGTATCACAACGGGCACACTAAGATTTTTCCTGTTAGGCTCAGTATTCAGACTCGGCTCATTTCTATGCATTTGCTTTGAAGGAAAATGCATGCTAGAAAACATCAGAGCTCTTTTATGAAAGATATTTCCATACTTACTGGTGCTACTATTTTGCCCGTCTGTCCAACTTGCATGTCATTAGGAACGAAGCCAGCATCGACAGCTGCACGGGAAGCTCCAACTAGTTGAAAGAAAATATTTCCAGTGTTTTTTTTTTAAATATTAGCGAGCCAAACTTATATCACCATAAAAACACATGTATTTTACTGAAGAGTCCCACACTCTAAGGGCATGTATTTAGAAACTTCCCTCTTAAGAGCTCTTATAGTAATCCCTCTCTATACCACTGGCTGAAACTTCCAAATACTAAGTGCTAATGCACTTCATAAGCAACAGGAAATCCTTACTCCCAGCACCAAAGAGCCGTATATTTAAAACCAAGGATTTCAGTCTGGCATATTTCCATTATTTTCCCTTGATGCTTTGTTGAAAGAGGATTTTCCCATAAATGCCTTCCCATAATGTCCCTCCAAGTTCGAATAGAACATATGTGCCATCTTCTACTGCTGCGGAGCTCAAAAGTCAGGCACAGTAAACAAAAACATCAAAGTAAACTTGAAGATGCCACATGGACAGTTAGCTAGTGAAGCCACCAGTTTAAAAATAAAGCCATTCATGTAAAATTATAAATGTATTATTACACGTGAAACCTAAAACTAACGTAATTAAAATGTTAATGCAAACAGTTCCTGCTCCTCCCCCAAACTTTACTTAAAATATTTTACTGAAACACTGAACATTATCAGTTTTCTCCTGTTAATACAAAAGCATGGCAAAAAGACAGAGCCACTCAAACTACAAGAACTGTGAAAGGGATTCTGTAACGGAGTAGTAAAGGATGTATGAAGAAAGTATCAGCTCTTCAAAGTGAGCCAAGACCATTCTTTAATTTATACAACTTAACTTTTTGTTTGTGAGTTTGTGTTCTGGAGATGTGAGGAGCAGAAGGAAAATTACAGTTCAGTTTTTTTGCTTCACACACAGGCACTTAAATGCACAGCTGACCACAAGGACAAGACAAAACTCTATCTAGGACTAAGCTAACAGGATTTTAAGAATTTACTTGATGGAAACATGAAAATAAAAGGCTTAAGATGAACATTGTTTTTAGTGTGACCTTTCTAAATATAATAAACAGGGTTAAAATAAAAAGGAGGAAAACAAGTTTACCTGCAGCATGCAACGGAGCCGCAAGATCATATAACAGCTTAAAATTTTCCCCGCTCTTAAAGCCTCTCCCTTAAAAGTTAAGAACAAAAAAAGATGAAGAAAGAAAAAAATGATATGCTGTAAGTTTTTTTTTTATTGTCCACATAAACTATCTGTATGAGTATTTGCATTTGCAAAAGCACACATATATGCTTGCACAGGGTATTTTTGGATATATTACTAAATAGTATTTAACATTTGGAGATTTAGCTTTTGTCTTTGTGATTAATATTATTACTTCATATGTATAAACCAACACCACTGTCTAGTTTACTTCCTGCATACAGCAGTATCAAGATCATTCTCTGAAGTCAGGCAAAAGGGATTTTTTTACTAATTTGTGCTCCCTCTGCTGGCTTTAGGTACAAAACTCTGTAGTGGGATAACTAAGCAATAATTATTTAGCCATAGGCACACAGTAAAAATCACAGTCCATCGCTTTATACCTGAAAAGCAGAATATAAACATAACGATTTTTAAAATCACTAAAGCCTTTACATAATCACATTTAGACTGCCTGCAGCAATTAGCAATAATTTTAAACATGACAGATTTGAATCTAAAAACACTTCATACTGCCAAATATGGCAATGTCCTCGAAAAGCCTACTAGCATATGTTAAACTTGTGTTTTGCCTCTTCACGAAACATCATGTTGGGTGCATTCCCGTTGGCCCCTATCCCATATTTCAGAATTACATCACAGTGTGGGGCTTTTTAATGCATCACACTATAGTATTCTGCTACAGACATATCTACTTACCACCTGATACAACCACTTTTGCACTCGTAAGCTCTGGTCGATCACTTTTTGTCAACGTCTGCTCAATCCACTCAGACAGACCAACAGGTGGTGGAGGGGTTACTGCAGTCACCAGATGACAAAAAACATCCGCAAGGAAAAAGGATAAAGCATGTATTTTCAACCTGTTGAATTCGAGTTTAAACCTAATGCAAAAGTTTCTCCTAAAACCAATTCTACCACAAGCTTTTTAACTACTATGAGTAATTGCTCTCCTTAATTGTGTTTAAGTAACCTATAGTACAAGGTGTACTAAAATTCAGGTCTGTTGTGTAAGTAATACATTGATATCAACCCAGCATAGTAAGTGTAGTTCTTAATATGACAAGTAAACAACCCAAATAAGTAGTGCAATGAAAATACAATACACTAATCTTCAGCATCAAGTAGCATTTGTTTTCTAACATCCACAGACGTTAGGAAATACAGGATCGTTCAGGAGCAGGTACTAGGACACCCAGAAAAATATGAGGACTGGGACACGGATGGACACAAACACACAGAGCATCTTACTGACGGTTGCCTCTGATGGATTTACAGCACAGCCACAAAAAGGCCCAAAGCAAAACACACTGGAGCAGGTTGCCCAGAGTGGTTGTGGAGTTTCCATCTGCGGAGATACTCAAAGCCTGATTGGACATAGTCCGGGCAACTGGACACAGTCCCAGGCAACCTGCTCCAGGGGGACTGGACTAGATGATCTCGAGAGGTCCCTTCCAACCTCAACTACTCTGTGATTCTGTGACCAGATTTCTCTATTATCAAAGCTACGCTGGCTTCATTAAAATAATAATTCAAACTGATTTAAACTGATTTAGCTAAAACTGATCTAAAACAACTGCATGTTCTCAAATCAATTTGAACCGCTACTAATCTAGCTAGACGCTGTAACGACCTATCTCAACTGAAATGTGACCGATTAAACCACAACTGTGGGCAGTCAGCCACTTTTATTTTTGCTCAATCTTGCTTTGAAACCAATCTGGCTATTCAAACAGTTGTAACTTTAAATAAGGAAAAGTTTCAAGATTGCGGTAGCAGAGGCTTAAGCAGCGAGTGAAACAGGCACAGATTTCAGCACAGATAATCTCCATTTCTGGCCAAAGAAAAAGTGAGCACATAATCCCTATCTTCCCTTACCAGACAGCATGAAAAAGTGCAAGCACCTGCACTAACAGCATAAAGCTAAGATTATGCCAATCAGTTTGCTTTGACAAATACTTCTGCAAAACATCACCATGCAGCGAGTAAAACTAACTCTATTACACGAAATGACAGAATACCAGAACAGATACTCACACTTTTCTAAACTGGCACTACCACCGCTTGTTGGCGCAGCCTCAAAAGAAGTTCCCCGTACAGTAAATACTTTAATTGCTTCATCACATTGCACAGTGCAAACAATATTTCCTAAAAAAGAAGGGTCCCATTATATATTTTAAAGAAGTTATTAGACATACTATGCTTGTTAACAAACAAATAAAATTAATATCAGAAACACATCAGTGGTTTAACTAGAATAGGCAACACTCAGAAAATCACTTCCCAAAATTGCAGTTTTAGATGACTAAAACTTGAAGTCTAGGCCCTTAATAAATGTAGATTACAAATATTTTAATTCACTTTTTAGGTCTATGCTTCTGAAGTATGATAACAAATCCTCTATTTTTAAAGAGGATTTAACATTGCATTCAAATAATCTCTTATGAATGAACTTCTAAAATTTAGAAGGGGGGAAAAAAAACCCCAACATTGAAAGTGTCATTCTTAAACATAAAGCATGCCTATAACTCAAAGTAGATCTTGTATCCCGTTGCACGGGACTTACATCAGAACAGCAGACAACTAGGCCTGCTGCAAGTATCTTTGGGATTGTGTTTTTCTCGGTAATATATAACATAAGGTATTTACTTCACACTGGAGGCTGCAGGGACCATGAAAAGAGAAAAATGCCGCAACACTAGCTATTCATAAACAAAGTAATCTTCAAACTGTGAATTACTGGGGAAGAACTTTAAAGTGCAAAAGAAAACAACTTGCTGGTAATGTAACTCAAAATGTAGTATCACATTGGTACACGTGGCACAAGCTCGTACAGTAAAATTCAGAAACACAAGCTAACGACCTCATATCTACATTTAAAAGTCAGACAAGCATGACAGAAACATGACTGAAAAAAGAATTGCAAATTAAGTCAATTAAATATTACAAATAATTAGTTCAATGTCTTTGTAATTAGGAAAAATAACCCTGTGGTATCTTAAATCAGGACTAATGCTAGGCATATTAAATAAAGCTAGACAATTAACTTAATATCTTACGTTTCACAAAATCTGATCAGAAGTACATTAACAAAGAAATGCAGCGTGCATAAAGAAGATTAACAAATTCTACTAATTGAAGGGACAGACCTGGTTTCTAACTGATAGTACCAAAGTTGTTGGGATTACTTGCTTTCTCACACATGGAGCACCACGTGCATCCCCAGGTTTCGTTTTTACGAACCACAGCAATTCAGACTGTAAAGTGAAAATTCCTGTCATATTCCAAGGTTCTAGCAACAGGATTATGTAGAACAGTTATCAGTATTGGGTCCTTTATTGCACAAATACCACACACCTTTTGTGACTACCCACCTGCATACATAGTTCTCACAAAAGTGTCTGGTGACTGAATTTCAATAATGTCAGAAACAGGGGCAACATCAAGTTTGCCAGCCACTCTGGGAATAAGATTCTAGAAGTTGAAGATGAAAAGTTATCAAAGTAAACGTTAAGTAAAATGCAAGTGGTCAGTAAAAGAACGCCTGCTGTCCTGATTTTAACTTCACATAGTGCTGTCTGTAAGTAAAAAGGCACATACATTTGTAAGATTTTTGTAGGGCTACTCATGTAGTTTTAGCAGCCAAATAAAATCCCATTATTGTAATAACATTAGACATTTTATGAGACTTACCATAAGTAAACCCTTAATTCAATATCTTAAATTAGGAGGCTTATTTTTTCAATAGTTTAAAACTGAATATAGATGCCATCTACTCAGAAATTTGACAATTATGGATTGCTGAGCTCTTAGCACTTCAAATACAAAAAAAAAAATAAATTTGGAAGCAAATTAAAAGAGACAGTATCAAAAAAAACGCTGCACTCTGCCCCCAAAAGCAAAAAAAAAAAATATTACTTTAAAAATTAGTATTAAAATACTTCTTCTCCTGACTCTAAAAAACTACTTAGCACCTCTAGGTCCTTCCCTAATGGGAAGGAGAATAAAAAGAGCAAAATAAATCATGAAGAAAGTAATGACAGCAAGAGCTTTGCTTGCTTTGTCCCCCTCCTGATCTGGTACGACACAAAGGGCCCATTTCTGAAATCTCTACTCACATGAAGCACTCAAAAATGGAAGCGTAAGCTTTAAAGCAAAAGCTATTAACCATTACTAAGACACTGCAGATCAAAAATAAAAAGAAAAAATAAAAAACCCTAAGACTTAAGGTATGTAAAGCTATCTCTCAGCAAAATTACAAGTACGCAGATTGATATTGATTGGAAGTGAAAGTAGTCAGATGGAAGGCTGATGTCATTATTCATCCCACATTGGCAACATTTCTGAGGTATCCTTTTTCTCTAATTTAGCTGCACCACAACATTGACAGGACTGTTAGTACTGAGGCTCTCGTGTACTTAAGAACACAATCCTTAAAAAAGAAGTTTTGAAAATCTGCATTTTCATTAAAAAACATCTTGGCTACGACTTGTATCTGTGTTATTTATATATATTCACAGACATTTCAATTTACATGACTTGCACCACAGATGCCATATCCTCCCTCCAAAAAATATTTGCTTCCAGTCAGCATGCACGCTTTCACTGCAACATGCAAATCACACACTTTTCATCTCCATTTACTATACTTCTTACAACTTTCATAATGCTTTCAGATCACCTAATCTAGTTTGTGTCACTGTACATTTTGCCTTGTGTACATAGAACTAGCTGGTTACTACCAAATATTTCTTCCACACTGTTCCTTTGTCCAAGTCAGACCATAATAAAACTCAAGACGTGAACTGGTGTTTCTAACTAACGACCTCTTCAGCAAACTACTGTAACATTTTTTTAAAACTCACAACTGTCCGTGGCTGATCTCTCTCAGGCATTTCATTCACACTCTTACAAACAACAGTGTCTCTGTCTCTTTTCTACCAGAAGTTTTTGACGCACTTTGATCTACTCACCTTCCCAAAGGCAGATGCTCCAGCGCAAATGTGGGTGTAATTAAATTTTTTATGAGTTTCCAAAATCAAGGGAGTCAGTTCCTCTGAGGATAAAAATATATTGCTCAAAATTCACAGCTATCTTATTTTGAATCGCAAATAAAAATACCACTTCTTTTGTCAATAGGTAAGAATAACTCTCACCTGCCAGAAACCCCTTGTATACATCGTGCTGAGCCACTAGAACTTTTGCAACACCCTGCACTTTGCTGACTTCTTCTGCCACCTATGATTACAAATGAATTATTCTTAGTTTGTATTACAACAGGCACCACAAACAAATGAGAGTCCTTGCCCCAAAGAACTCACAGCCTACGGATTAGTTAAAACTGTAACACAAAAGTATGTGAATTTCCAAATGAGAATGAACCTGATAAACAAAATGCAGCTCTTCTGACTCAAAGCATAGTACTTTATGGGATAACAAAAATTAATTTTGTGAATAAGAAAACTACAGAGCAAGCCAAACATAGGAAAGCTTGCCTCCAGTATGCAGGGTTACACAATGATCTCATGATTTATTACAACAGCCAATCACAATCACACCTGGGGATTATCGCTCAATATTCTGATATAATCATAAAGAAACCAATCCTACTTTCTTTTAAATCAGCTGATATCTACTGCACAAGCATACAATGCAAATACAAACATACAGCAATGTTGCAATCTTTGTCCAAATTTTAGGAGCAATCCTTTGTCTGCAGCTGACACTTTGCCTACTTAAGTGTATTTTCAATTCCGTATTTATGCATTTTTTTCCCTTTAAATTCACAGAATTGAAGTTTAAGTGATAAAAGGGTTGCTGCAGATCAGAGAGAAGAGGACTGACAGCAGTGTCTGGAGACCACATGCATCGTCCCAGAACTAGCGGAGTTTTACTGAGTTTGCTGAGTATCAGTTTACCCTCAAAAATTAACAATAGGAAATAAAAGAAAATTCCATAATGGCTGCTACAGAATATCTGTTCAAACAGATATGCAAACTCACTCTTTTGTCCTATCAATGCAGATTCTTACAGAGAAACTTAAAAAAACCCCAAACCTTCATTTTTTGCGAAGTACTTTTTCCCCAGCATGACATACATTGCCAAACAGACACCTTATACTTAGTATTAAACAAACAAACAAACCATTCGCAATCATTTTTCTACTACACTTGAATAACGAAACTTAAAGACAGACATATCAGGCAAAACTTTATTTTTTTTTTTTTTTTTTACTTTGCTTGATCTAGGTAAACATTTGCTTCCAGGTCTCCACCTCGACCACCCAGGTCTCAGTTCAGAATAGCCACAGCCCATTTGTGACTTTGCTGCCATGAGCATGCCTCCTGCATGAGATACAATGTATCGCTTTCAGAATAACAATCCATAAACAACAACCTAGTATGAAAAATATTAGGCATAATTATTTGTACTTTTACTGTTCCCAAAAGAGTACACCATGCTGGAATAAAAATACCACTACTGTACAAACTATATTGTCTCTACATTTTGCACATAAAAGTTCAATTAACAATAAAACAGCTAACATACAAGAAACTTTTCTTAGACATGAGCTAAATGATAAAGTCAAGAAGCACTAATTTCAGAATTTCAGGTTGCAAACACGCTCTCGCTACGCTACTAGTAGTTGACCAGTAAAAGCAAGAAACTC